ATCATAATTATAATGATGCTAATAGTAACAAGCACTTAAAACATTGATAGAATAGCGTATTTGCTCATGCAATCTAACAAGGAGACCATCAAGGATTTCTGCTAAAACAAATGATGCCAAAATAGGCATATAGAGCTCACCTGACCAAGCATTGACTCATCAAGGATATCAAAGAGTCTCTGTACATGATGGTTAGGTCCTAGCGCTTCAGCTTTGATATCTTGCCATTTCCTAACTAGAGTCTCAGCTTCTTCCACAGGCATTGGCTGCCTGAGCACTCCAACACCAGAGGATGACAAACTAGCAGCAAGACAAGATTTCTGCAAACTTCCAACTTCTGGCTGGGGTCTCATCTGAATTTTAAGCATTGAAAGGAACTTCTTAAGTTTCTTGGCATTCCTACTCTCATTTTCATCTAGAGAAAAATCTTTAGACCAGGAAATGGAGCTTGATGTAGTTGGTCTTTTCAATCTCCACCTAGAACTGTTTCCCATCTTGTAGAAGTGCATGTTCATCAGCCTGAAGGAAGCGTAAATAATGCAGCCCAAAGATGTAATGTACATCAACTTCCTAACAACAGTATATGGGTCTGACCAAATGTCCCAGGCTTTATTTTGGTGAGAACCCAAATTTCTTTTTAATTGAATAGGTACGTCAACATTGGCACCACTATTGGCCTTGTTTTCTGTCAGTGGACCTTGCAGATTGGCTGGGGTTAACTGCTTTACTGCTGGTCCTACATGTCGTGAAGCGTCTTTAGATGGAATGCTGTCTTCAAAAGCTTTTCGATCCAACACAAGCGGAGATGTAAGTGATTGGTGGCTCATATTTGATGTTGTATGAAGAGATCTCTTAGGTTGCCTATTCCCAGAAGTTTGCTTTTCTCCTGCAAAGAAAATAACCTGTACAAAGAACATCACATCCTGGCCCTAGATATACAACTAGCATCATATGTTATCACCAAGAGACTTACAAAAGATGGTGGAGTTTCCTGAGTATCTGGGAAGACCTGAAGTACAGAATCCTTCAGCCATGTCTCCTGGCAATTTAGAAGAAAATGTGGTAAGGGATAGATACATATAGACATTCATAAAGAGAGAGGAAAGAAGAGAGGCAGAGGTGAGCTTAGAAGACAACTAGTGACACTGCAAATAGAACAACTGGAATTCTATATAACTACATTTAACACAAGAGTTTATCCAAAAGATACAAATGCCATATATTGGCAATAGCAGTTTTTTTGCATATGATAATTAAGTTTCCAATGTGATATTGCTCTCATAAGTAGTTCTAAACTGTAACAATAAAACAAGCACAAAAATGACCCCCCCCCCCCGCGGGGAATAGAATCACAAACAATAATGCACTTCATAAGTAGTAGTTTTTATACATCACATGATAGCCAGAGAACGATACCAGTGATTTCCTTGAATTTGAAACATCTTTGGCTTCTTTATCTGAAAGTAACTTCCGTGCAGCAGGACTTGAGTTCAGCTCAAGCTGCCAAAGCTTTTCAGCAGCAGTTGCCTCATCACCCTGCATAATGGGACTCAAACCTTGGCTCAGTATTAGTATGACTATTAAGTACCACGAAGAAAGGGTAAAGATAAAATATACCTGATCAAGAAGAAACAAGCAGAATGCTTCCTCAAATTTCAAATCAGTCCCTTCTGACGATATCAAACATTCACATATTGTTTTCGCTTTGTGAATCTAAAAGGAAAAATAAACCACAAAAAAAATAAATATGCTAAGCTGTCAAGTCTCTGTCAACACATAATAGCATGTACTGAACATAAACACCAATAGAGTTATGTGTCCAATAGAAAAATTGTTACTAATCGCCGTAGTAGATAATTGTACAAACTAGTAGGTAGTTCCCTGGGAATGTTGCAAGAGACATTTTATTTCAAGTAAAGAGAAACAACTTACCAAATCTTTCTGCTTGCTTGAAAATCCAAGGGCAATGTGAGCTATCAAAATCACGTAGAAACAATTAAAATCAATTACAACTCTTTGACTTTGTGACTCTAGAGATTTCTTATTTTTTCGTGTAAGAGCAAGATCTTCCCAGGGAAGAAGTTCCACAATCTCTGTAGCCATGAGCTTACGGAGCGCTTGATTCAAGAAAATTGGCCAGTCTTGTACCTGGCTAGAACTTTGTACATCAAGGCCCTGCCTAAGCAGTTCACGTAAAGCTGAAATGGCTCCTGACCTCCGTTCAGCATTTTCAGGTGTGTAAGGCATGCCTAGTAACTCCAGTGTGCAAGCTGGTGCAAGCTCTTCCAGAGATTCTTCAATCTAAAATAAATTTCACAAAAATGATTAAATCCTCTCCGAATCATTAATTTTGATTAGTGTGTTTTGTCGCAGATATAGAGCAGAAACTATGAGATGTTACCTCAGACAAAAGTGTCATCTTCCCAAGTGAACTTTTACTCCTAAGAAGACACTGAGCACGGGCAAGAGCTTCAAACCCTTGTGAAATCTTGTTCTTCTCAAAACAAGCTTTTGCAATCGAACACTTCAAGAAAGCACCTATATTAAGAAAAGGATGCATAACAAAACTGCCAATTTAAAAAGTAGCACACAGGTCTGACCTGTTCATTCTCTTACCTCTGCTAGTGCCATGGACAAAAGAACATCATGAATGTAAGACTTAGCATCTCCGTGCTGTAAGGCTCTCCGTCCAATATCAAGAACAATCTTATCCTCTCCAGCCTAGATCAAATAGACTGAGAAAATCAGTATTCCAGGGGAGAAAAAGGAAATCCCAACTCAGTACCTTAACAGTAGAATATTGCCGAAAATTGGCATTCAGTCATTGCTCACAAAATGAATTATGTACCATAACATATGAAGAACTGAAAAAATGGAGCCAAAGAATGCAATTTATTATCCAAGAGAATAAAATTACGCTCAGGTATGAACCTTTGCTGCATGCAGTTTGAGAAAGTTAAGTAAAATATGCCTGCACAATCACAATACCTCCTGAAGAAGGCAAAGAGCAGCAGGCACCCAAGACCATGGAATTCGTAGAGAAGATTTAGGTGCGACCTTTTCCTTTGTATTTCCAGCATATTCTGGTTCAAAAAGAAGCTTATCCCTCACATCCATCAAAAGATTCTGTGACATGATGGCATAAAAAATTAACATGGAAATGAAGTAAGACAAATATCTAATGACGTATTCTTAGGAATCAGATCCCAAGTGCAAAAGCTTTAAGGAAAAAAATAAAAGAAAATGAAAAAAATCATATCACCAGTGGAAAGCTACGCACATTGAATGACCATATCAAATGATAGAAGCTCCATTAAGAAAAACTTTTTTCCAAAAGCATGTTTACTATCTTTAAGGAAAGGAAAAAGAGAAACCCTTATCTTCTATGTTTTCTCTCTAAGTTAATAGGAAAGTAAAAAAAAAAAAGGAGTACCTCATACAACTTGCCATTTAGAAAACAGAAACTGGTAATGACTTGTAGTAACACAGAACAAATACTAACCAGAGATAGCAGACCCTACCTGACGACTAACAACAACATCTGCAGTATAACCTTCTTCAATCTGTGCATTCCTCAGATGCATTGCAGACTTAACAATTTCATCTTTCTCTGCTTGATCAGAAACACCAAGAATCTGCAGTTTTTATAAAGTAAAATGAGTATATCAAAATGCCTCTAATTTAGACAGTAAATTGGTGCTCAATCATTTCAGCAAATTGGCGCTATAGTTTAAATTATGAAATACGGGAAAAATAGCATTTTGAAACACCTATAATCAAGTAAAACTGTAGTTTTCAGATAAATCACTACATTGGCTTATCCAATTCTACTATATCTCTTCTATTTGAACTTCATTTTTCAATTTCTCCTCCAAAATTTAACCATTCAAATAGCACCCCAATATACATTTCCAAGTTTAACCTATTAGGACTAACTCTACCTAACCATCTCCCGGAACCATCAAGCTATATGTATTCCTTACGTTTTCACCCAATTACTCTTCATTTTAACCAACAAATACCGGAAAACAAATCATCAAAATAGTTGTTGACGCAAAAATTACTAGCCAGAGTGCTCCCGTATCTTCACTTTCTTACAGTAATAATAATAATAACAGTAAATAAGAACATAAACAATTAAAATCCACCACTTTTTTTTATTTTCATTTCCAAAAATTTACATTGATAATTAAACAAAACACTGCCAGCCTACATATGAAGGGAAAAAATACACATTCATGCAGCATGAAAATAAGAAAATCAGAGAGTAGAAAAAAGTTGAAAAAGACCTGGTAACAAGTGATCGGTATTTCAGCAGAGGGAACGATGGGAGACTGAGAATGAACAACATTGATATTATTTCTACTGCTGCTACCACTCTCCACAACAACCCGGAGGTCAGCATTGGCGTAAAATCTCCAACACCGACGACGGTAAATACTCAAAATCACCAATCCTCTATTATGATTCAAAATCCTAGCTCTCAAACCAAAAATAGACGAATAATTCACCCATTTTACATCAAAATGACCGCAAAATTTCAACTTCTTCCTGATGTCATTGTGGTTATTATCTAGCGTTTTTAAGTACGCACAGCAGCAGTTGGACGGAGTTGGGAGATGAAGAGTTGCCATGCGGATATCTACTGTTGTTTAGTGTGTGACTGTGTGAGAGAGATTAGAGTTTTCATCACAGGAATTTGTGGATCGGTGAAGCCATTTTCGAGGATGGATTTGTTTTGTTGGGAGAGAAAAAGGAGAGAAGGGTTATTGGCATTTTTTGGGTTTTTCTTTTTGCATTGATACATTCGGCACTCAACCGTTGCTCTTTTCGCTTTTTGGATTAATTAAAGATAAATAATTACTTTATTCCATTCTTTATCCACTTCAGTCGTAGCATTAGTAATTAGCGGTTAATTAAAGGGCCTATTTGCAACATCGAATACTTGATAGCCTTGAGATGTAAATTGCAATCGACTCGTGCGACAGTGATATATAAACCCCCCGCAGCTGTACATGGAGCAGTCTTCCCGCCTTTCTGGAATCTCTAATTATTTATTAATCTGAAAACACACACTCACGCAGTAGAAGGAAATCGGACGAAATGGTTCGAGGCGGAGGAGGAGCGAAGAAGGAGAAGGAAGAGAATGCGGAGGCGGAAGAAAGGAAGAGACTGAAGAAATTGGCGTTTAAAAATAATATACTTTCCGAAACGCAGGCGACGGCGAGTGGCTCCAACGCTCTGAACCCTTCGGCGACTGTGGTCAAGCACCATGGCAAAGATATCATGAGGAAATCGCAGCGGAGTGGCAAGAATCGTTATTTATTCTCATTTCCTGGGCTTTTAGGTCCAGTTTCTGGTGGAAAGGTTGGGGAACTCAAAGACCTCGGCACTAAGAATCCTGTTCTTTACCTCGATTTTCCCCAGGTTCGTGTGGAAGTGGAAACCATGTAGAAAATGTACAATCATCACGGATTAGCTGGTGATTTCCAATTTTAGTTGTTTGAGTATGAATCAAGAGATTGATAGATAAATGATCAAATAGGATGTATGGTCAAAATTAGGACATGTACGTATTTATGCACAGAGTTTGGTTATATAAGGTCTTGAAGACAGATTTGTAGAAGTTAGTTCTTTTTCTGCACAATTATGATATTTAAGCTCTAATTACATAAACGAGGCAAAATGTATTACTAGTAGGGGAGAACCCGGAAAAAAGCATAAATAGGAAAATGGTTCTTAACTAGTTTTACAAAATCAGTTGTTAATTGTTCTGGAGTATAGTCATACATTTATTTGTTAATTTTCTCGGATAGTAGAAGAGAGTAATAGGAAAGTGAGGTGCAAACAACTTCTTGATCATAGATTCCCTTTGAATTGGAATTGTTTTTCTGTTTCCCTTTGTTTCCACCATTGGAAATGAATTTGAAATTACGGTGGTATTTTTATGATGTGTAGGGTCAAATGAAGTTATTTGGTACAATTGTGTATCCAAAGAACAGGTACCTGACTCTTCAATTCTCGAAAACTGGAAAGAATGTGACATGTGAAGACTACTTTGATAACATGGTCAGTGTTTTTTTCTTTTGTTGAGTGATTTTTGACACCTAAGATGCTCGATTCCTCTTATCCAGAAATTTGTTTTACCTGATTCAGAAAGGAAGATATCTTGAATTGCCCTAAGTTTTGGTTCTCAACCATCATTGTCCTTTAAGCTACTGTGAGACACAGACTTTCTTCTCTGATGATTCAATACTTCCACTGGGTTTACCATGTGGTGGAAACCATTAACTCCACATGCATATGTATTTACATTAGAATAAAGATGGTTAAATGTCTCAAGAACACTGATATATTTTATTGTGAATCAGTTCAACTCATTTTTGATAGTGATATGGTAAATTATGCTGACTAAATCAGTGAAATGTGATTAACAATTGGACCTTCAACCTCTCCTTTGGTTGCTGATTCTCACATCATTTAAGGGGTTTTTTCCACTATCCTTTTAAGAGATGGATCCTTTTATTTATAATGTGGGATCTTTTGTGTGCCATAATCATGGAAGCTAGGCCAACCATTAGCTGTCAAGGAAATACTCTAAAAGAAGTTGTAGATAATGAAATTTATTATGTGAAGACATTACTGTATTTACTTTTTCTGATTTTTTTATCAGATTGACAATTTTTTTCTTGTCTGACTGTTCTAGTTCTGATACAGAATATAAATGTTGCCAAATTTAACATATTTGGTCTTGTCATTATCTCTTTCTAATATTGCTTCTCTTGTGCTCTGGGTGAACTGAGTTTTCAATAAATACCTAGAAATTGCCCACAATATTGTGAGGTTTTGTCTTAAATTTGTGATTGCATATTTCTTGCTTTTCCAGATTGTGTTCTCTGATGCTTGGTGGATTGGGAAAAAGGATGAAAATCCTGAAGAAGTACGTCTAGAATTTCCAAAGGAGATGGATGTGGTTAGTCCACTGTAAAGCTTTTTGACTTGCTGTGCTTTTATCTGCTAACTTTGTAAGGATGGTTTGATGAGTATGCTAGAATTTGTGATATCTTTCGATTATTTGTAGATAACATTAAAGGATATCCCATATGTTTTCTTGCTCCCAGGAACAGGTGCAAAACTATGATTTTAAAGGTGGTGCAGGTGGGCCAAGTGATAGCAAGCGAGATAGCATTAAAACAGCTAAGAAAGTTGTCGAGCAGCCATCTCCTAAATTTGAGCTGGAAGAAGATTCCTCTGACAGTCAACATAAACCTAAAGAAGTTCTTGAACTCACTCCATCTCGGAAGTCAGCTAGGACAGATTCCTCTGACAGTCAAAATAAACCAAAAGAAGTTCTTGAACTCACTCCATCTCGGAAGTCAGCTAGGACAGCGGGAAAGACATTCAAGTACATTTCAATGCTTTTGCTTTCTAACTTAAACGTGTCAACATGCTGCTTTAAAAAGTATTTTGTGTCTTGTCTGCAAAACAAGAAACAAGTACATTAATGTTGAACTATTAATTTGTCAAATGAAATTGCCTGGATACTGTAGACAGACTATAGCATGTTGAAAATTTTTAAAACTAGGTGTCTTGAAAAGAAATAGAGTCACCAATGAGATGTATAGTCTTAATCTTTTGTTATTACACAGTATAAACATGCAAAATGATGTTTGTTTGTTAACTCTTAATGAGTGACATAAAGGCACTTATTCCTAAATATAGGTGAGAGCGTTTGACTAATTATTTTAGTATTTTGGCCGTTTTCCCCATATTTTCCTTACAGGTGCATGAAGCTTTAATTTCAGTAATATGTTCTCAATTTTGGCATTTTATTGATGTATGGCTGTCCCTATTGCTGTTTTGTGGATACTGTTATTTATGAAAGTTCCCCACTTAGATTTGACTCTTGTGTATCAGAATAATCTTCTAGATTTCACTGTCAAGTGTATGTCTTGAACCTATTAAGGGAGGAACTTGTGACGTCATATTAACAAATACCAAAAGACAAAGAAATATTGATTGTACTAGTGATGTTTAATTCCCCAACTAGTAATATTACTGGCAGATGGATGACAAAATTAAAATGACAAGAAATACATGGACTCAATTCTTTTATTTTAACATTTCTCCAAATGATTAAAATTTATTCCGTATTGTTGAACTGACAGGCACTGTCTCTTTTCTACTTTGGTCTGCTATGTTCCAATATGAGCTTTTGTTGGATTCTTCAGGTTTAATTGCTCAATAATGGATGGTTAGCTACTTTATTGGCTGCTAACAAAACACTGTCTAGGTTTGCTGAGTCTTCTTCTGGAGATGACATTGCTGATGGTTTGGGGGAGACCTCAGGAGATGATTTTGTTAATAACGGGCTAGAAAGCTCAGAAGGAGATGGGGACAACGTTGCTAAAGATATCCTTCTAAATTCATTGACCTTGTTAGTTCTTGTTACTTTGATGACATTCCTCTATTTATAAGTACATTAAGCTTTTTATGTTGTTTGTTTTCATCGCATGAGCTGTCTTTTCACCTGCAATCTGCTTACTTCCTTAAGAATGTAAACAGACTGGAAAGTCTTGCCATGTGGTACTTGACCTTGATAAGGAAGATGCTGAAACAGACGCTCCAGTCCCAAAGAAAAGAAAACAAAGTGCAAAATCAGCTTCAAAAACTAAAGAGCTTGCTCATAGTAATCAGGGTTCTCTGGTTCAAAAGACCATATCATCCTTATTCAAGAAAGCAGGGGAAAAGGTATGGTGTTCAAGTTTTGTTGATATTCCAGGTTTGTATCATGGGAATTATTGATAGACCACATGATTGATGAGTACACTTCTACTTATCAAGGCATACATGCTGTGGAAAAGGCTTTCTGTGGAATGCCTAAATAATTTTCTTGTGCTGTAGCTTCTCTCATACCAATAATTGGTACAGTTTTACAAATCTAAGCTGCTTAAAGGGACATTTTTTTTAGTAGCTGGAAACCACTTTTATTTTAATCAATGTTGACATCCTTGGTAGAACTTTTTCTGTTTGTTCTGAATTTGGACATCATGATGTTCTCTTTGGGTTTCTATAATACGTCACCTACTTGTTGAGTCCTGTTTCTTTGTATCTAAAAAAGTGAAGGTTTGCCTCTTGCATTTTCAGCATCAGAACAGTTAGAAGAAAAGTAATTTGCTTTAGGAAATAACTTCCTAAATTTTTTTTAGACAGCTACTTCCTTAGACAACTACTTCCTATTTGATTTTACTTGGTTTTGTTTATTCTGCCACTTCGTAATGTAATTGGATCTCTGAAAGTACCTGTCCAAACTATTAGTTTTTAGGTTTCAATGAATTTTTACGGCATGCATATAACCTGCAGTAATAAGGACTATAGGACAAGTTAATTCTTTATAGGGGTTTATGAAGATGAACCCATCATGGCCACTGATTAGGAACAGTGGAATGATTAATATTGTTGATGAATACTTATGGAGGTACAAACCATAGTGTCCACTTTGTGTTGAATGGTGAGCATCTTCCCTGATATCCTGAATAGCTAACACTAGAAAGGAAGAGTTAAAGAATGAGTTCGGTTGAGTTGTTGCCTACAAAAGTTTCCCTTATATTTAACTTTGTAGTTTTTCAGTATCTTATACTTCCCCATGAAACTGTGTGAATGATCAGCTAGTTTGGGAAATCTAAGAAGATATCACATGGGAGACCTTATAAGGATATCAAAGTTCACTTGACAGAATTTGTAGTGTGTGATATTATTCTCTTAATAAAATAGGAAAGGGCTATTGTGGTGCTTTTCCCTAACTTGACTTAAATTATATTCTTTGTATTCAGCAAACTGTATGTTTTTCATGCTTTAGAGCAAGCTTAGTTATGAAAATGACGTTTTCTCTTCTACAGGTTGTGCATACAGATGCGAATGAGAAGATAGATAATGTCAAGGTGAGATCTCTTTCTATCTTTTTTTTTAAGAGAATTTCAGAAAGTTTCTTAATTATCTTCTTGGCATCAAAATACCTGTTATTGCTGTTTTGATCGTAACCAGTTTTAAATTTGAATTGTTATAACGTAGCAATGGTTGTGTTGCAGATTTCCAGGCCCTCGAAAAAGGGGAAACCAGTAGGCAAAAGAAAAGATGGTTAGTTAAGCACTTCCACTCCAGTCAAACATTTTGAGTCATATATTGAGCATCAACTTGCTCTTAATGTTCTCCAGGTTTCTTAATGTGTTGCAATATACTTACAGAATCTCAAGGTTAATTACTGTGGTGTTTTATGCTGTCCTAAATGCCCAGTAATAGCTTATTCGTATCATGTCATTAGTGGCTTAAAGTGTTGTAGATACCATTGCATAACCAACATATTTAGTTTGGTATCCTGTTGAATTAATGATCTGTTTGCTCTTAACATGACCTTTTGTAGCATCGGTCTTTCAAAATTCCTGAATTTTACATTATATTGATAGTTAAGTTTTTATTTACTACTGATTTACAGAGCTATTCATTTTTCTTTAGACTTGTATGCAGTCAAAATTCAATAGGTTACTATAGTCTATGGATAGGATTTCTAAACTTGATTAGATAAAGTGCACTTCTCAAAATCTTTGTACGGCGATAAATCATTTTAATTATTAAAAATACATGTTACTTAGAACTCTTGATTAATGACTCAAATGGTGCACAAGTTTTGATGAGGAGAAAGAGAGGGCGGAGTGGAGAAGAGGACGAGGGTGAGGAATATTATAGGATGTAACCCTCTTTCTTAATGCTTGATGATCTGTATTTTTGCATCACATTGTTACAGGCAGCCAGTTATATGGTTTCTTTATCTGGTTAATGGACCTCATATGTAATTTTCCATGTTATGTTGCAAGATGGATCATCCAGATTGATGTCCGTTCATTTTAAAACTTTCTAGTTATGCTTCGTGGTCAATTAAACAATGTTGTTGAAGACGATTGAAAACTTTTTCTTAACTGAGCTCATTTGCATTTTCGTTTCCCTCTGCCTTAATGTAGGAACAGAAAGTTCAGCAAGGAAGAAAAAAATGAAGGTTCAGGTTTGCCTCATTGCCTGTTCCTTTCAGCTTTTTACGTCAGAGATATAAACCGAATCTATGTGTAATTTGTGTTAACTGTTTTAAGTGATATGACCATAAATTCGTAATCTGTATATTCTAATCTGCTTATTTGGTAGATATTGTAGAAGGATGTTACCTTGTGGTTTTCTCTAATATGGGTAGATACTAAGAAGTTGAAAGACTGGGAAGTGTTTACTCTTTCAGTAATTTTCTATTGTGGTTCTTGACATACAATACATAGACATGTTTTCATGGTCTACATCCTTTAAGTTGAAATAAACAATGCTGTACATGTAATTATAGACTGCAAGTTCATTTCTGCTATAACCTATAGCACTAATTTGTAATGACTATCACCAGATGTTGTGAAGACTGAACCAGATAGATGTTAGCCTGACGACTAAGATGAACTTATGGAAGAAATTCATTTGAAGTGGAGAACCTTGGTGTTTTTGAAAAAATGTTTGTTGCCGTAGTGTCGTGAGGTTGAATTTCTCTCTCCAGTTGTGTCAAACGACCTTGCCAGATGTGTATTCATCTTTAGGGTGACACTGAATTTTAAACCCATACAAGTTATATGATATGTATAACTTAGTGGGGTTGTAAAACCTGTATGATATTGTATGATATGTATGTTATGCATCAAAATTCCCTCTCCTTGGGTATCATCTGCTTCTATGATGAGTGGAGTACATCTACTTTTGATGTTTTTACATGACCTAAGTGTTTTTACATATAAAATTGTTGTACAAGCCATGACATTTTGTCTTTGACAACCATCAGTTTTGTTTTTGCACTTTGTAGGTTGAAGATGATGATATTGAGGAGTTCACTAGCACATCGCAGGTGAGATATGTTGATGCAGTTTAACTGCATAATCTGAGTTGCGTAATGTTGATGATAGTTCACAAGTTGGTCAAATTGTTCGTTTTAGTTAAACAACTGTTGCACTAGTAAAAATTTGCAGATAAAGGGATTTGGAATCTATAACATAAATTAGCTGCAATCTGTTTATCATTTACAACTCATGCTAACTCAATGTGTAACAAACTGTTTTTAGGATATGATTTCAAGTGATGAAGACTGGACTACTTAACAACAGTGATGTGATGACAACCGCAGTAGTTGTCAAAACAAATTTCTACTCGGATATAAGTCGATCTGTGAATTCCCCCAGTTGAATGTCCAAGAAATGAGATTGCTTACTTCTCTTGGTGATGGATTAATTGGTAATGCTTGATGTCAATTCTTTTTCTTTCATTGTAAGGAATGTAATGCAGAATTGAGAAAAATGATGGGAGGTTGGCGCAGAATTTGTGACTCCTTCCCCTTTTTATTTGCCATGTATGACAGTTCATAGAAACTTCAAAAGCTATTGGTTGTATACTTGAGTAGTAGTTCAATTTGGATACTTGAAATGATACTGCGAGGAAATTCTTGCGACTCCTATTAAAAGAAAGATGCTAGATCGGCACTTTTATTTAACCCAACTTTTGTTGAGTTGATCTGTTTCTCATCTCTGCTCGACCCGCAAGTTCTCATCTCAATTCAGGGAACAGTGTGCACGAAAGAATATATGCAGAAAGGTTCACAAAAAGGGAAACATCTCATCTCTGATATTCCCATTAAATACTGCTTTATTACATCGTCTTGCTATAACCACGGAAACGAAGAGGAAAAAATGAAAAAAAAAAAAAACAAAGAGAAAGAAGGGAAAGATGGGAAGAATGTACATAGACCTTTACTTAATTCAACTGGCATTTGCAGTCCTTAAAGTGCATTTCAGATTAAGGCTTAGGAGCCAAAAACTTATCTACCCTACTGTTTGTGCCCTTGGACAGGAACTTCATGCAGATAGGAGGTTTCACCCCAGCCAGAGCTAATATAGAATTAGGCAGAGTCCATATGCCGTCTCCACAAATCAAGCCTGAAGCCACAGCCGGTGCAAAAGCATCAGCCTTGGCCCTGTTTATCCTTTGCCAGATGTAGAGAATTAGGCTCCCAACACACATGTCAATGGCAAAATATGAACCCAAGTAAAATGGAATTGCCATCGCCATTGGAAGTGGAATATACCTTCCACGTTTCTTTCCCACAGCATCCCTAATCATGTTGATGAGAATTGATGCACAAAAGAATGCATAACACAGTTTGAGGCAATTTTTTGGCAGGGCTGAAAAGCCTTCAACTCCGAGTTTAGCCATGTTATAGTAGACAGTGGCAAAGGGGGCTGGATACGTGGTTCCGGTCACACCAAGATCCGGAAAAGCCTTGTAAAAGATCCAGAAGACACAAGGCGCTACCACACATCCCATTGCAGTGCCAATCACTTGGCTCACAAACATGGAACGTGGTGAAGCCAAGGTCAAATATCCGGTCTTAAAATCCTGCATTAGGTCAGAAGCTGTGGAAACAATGTTCATCATGACTCCACATGCTGCCAAACCAGCTAAAACTCCACCATGTGAAGTACCGGCCCAAGCTCCAATGGTGAAGATGGCTAGCTTTCCGTACGTTGATGCAAGTGACCAGTCGGTGAGCCCACAACCAAATGCATTGCAGAATGCAAGCACTGGTGCAAAGGTGTAGATAAGTATGATGTGGTACCATTTTAACTGGTGGAAGATGTGAGGAAGTGTTAGAGTTGAGATGACAGCAATGGCAATGTAACCTCCACAAGCAAACCAGGTTGGTATTTGATCCTTCAGAAAGAGTCGAGTGCGGCGCTGGTCGTCAAAAGAAAGAGGTTTGTTGGTAGGAGATGGACTGTCAACAGTTGGGATATGCATGCTAGCACTTCGGTCGTGAATTTTGGTAACTAAACCGGCTACAGTTCGGCTGAGCACCTTGAAAAAGTTGTAGAGGCCATCACCAAGTATCATAGCAATGCCGATAAACACCTATAGGATAACTCAAATATCAGTGAAGAAGAGAGACAACTGAATAACATGTAATGTAACACATACTTCCAGCAGAGCACCTTGTAACCTTGGAGTCCCTGAAGATTGTTGTGGCTTAGGCCTGCTGGGTACCAATCCCCCTCCCTCGTTTCTATCAGAGGCCACATTAGACCCCAAGAGAGAATTCCTCCAACCAGCACAGATACGTTTATGATGTGAGGGCAAATCATTCCCACGCCAACATAGGTTGCAGAAAAGTCGAAGTAAAACCTGGAAATGCAAAATTACCACTTGAGCTAATGATGAATGGCTTTTATTGTTTCTTGTCGTCCCCCTCCCCAAAAAAAACCCGGCCCAACAAAAACCCCCCCATGGCCGCATCCTGGTCATTTTCTGTATTTTACTTTGCTGACTAGCAATAGAGAATCTGTGGTTTGGGTTATATGAGAAAGAGGATCATGCGTTTACTTGTAGTTATATGCTTTTAAACCAAATGTTGGGAAGCTTGCAAATCCACAGTCATCACCAGCAGTAAAGAACCACTGGAAGAAACCCCACAAGAAGCTGAAGGAGAAGAACTTGCCCAGTTCTCTTACTTGTTTCCTGTAAGATCAAGCAAAGTTTGAGAGAAGTTGTTGAGAGGTATTTCTTCCATTATGATTTGATTGGAAGATCAATCTAGGATTCTAGGTAGCATCTTACTTAGCCAGCTTGGCCCCTTCAGGAGTGTGGAAGCTGTTAATAAGATGTGCTGTGGCGGTACCACTTGGATATGTCAATTTGAAGTCTATAATCATGATCTGCAGACAAACAGGTAATTCAAGATTTGGGACTACATGTTTCCGAGGATATATAGTTAATAATGAGTTATATTTCACACTTCTTAATTTAGTGGATGGGGCTTTTTGAAATGAGTAAAGGATCCTGTTTGCTTCCTTGGTGATCTGGCATAAACTAACATGTATCTCTCAGCTAATTGTGGTTGCAATCACCATTGATCAGGGCATGATTTAAATGTTATGTGGTTTAAAGTCACAAGTCTTCTTATCTTCCTCCTCCTAAATATGTGGATGGAGGAAAGGAGATGAATCAGCTAGCCAGGAGAAATATTCTACATCTGTCCTTGCTACTTTAACCAATTTAGAGTCGCAGCTGGAATTCATACAAAGCCATACCTTGCGTAAAGGCACCACTGAGAAGAGGCCAAGGAAGCTAACTACAAAAAGAAACCCAATCATCCATCCCAATGTTGGGTTTTTGTATTGGAATCCAGCTTTGCCTTCTTCTGACTGCTTAATTACACGTTCGCTCATGGCAAACAGGTAACTGCCAAAACCTCCTGCGCATAATCATCCCGAATGATAAAATTTTTCAGGCCAAAGTCCCAATAAATAATTTGATGATGTCTATGGCCTGAATTTAATTTTGGGAAAAAAAAAAGTGTAACTGTTTTTATCAAAATACGTCAATTTTCTGCTATGATTCCCCCCCCCCCCCTTCTTTTTGTAGCTTATAATGTGTTCCTCGCTAGGCCTATCGCAGGCAATGGTGTGCAAAAAGAATGCCTAAAGAAACTCTTCGTGCTTGAAGAGTCATGAAATTCGACACTTGATTATCTAAGAGAAACAACTGATTTAGTACATCAACATCTCTCTTCTTATTTCACTAGCAGAAAAAGCTTTTGTTAACTTTGATTTACACAATAGGAATTTTGATCTGTAAGCTACCACTGTTCTAAATAGTGGAGCCAAGACTTTTGTCCAGTCGGTGAAATAATTTTATGCTAAATTTACGATGTGTAGTTTGTGAATTTTTAGTGCAACTAAATATTTCTTATTAATTTAATAGGAATGAAACAATTTATTCAATATTGCAAAAAATAAAATTGTGTATCGGTTGTGATTTATTATCTGCAGTAGTTATCAAGTCATTTAATAGTATAAAATTATAGAATGGTTAATAGTATCCATAAAACTATAAGATGTATATTTAGATATATATATATATATATATATGTATATATAATAGACAATTAATGTATATTTAGTCAAACTATCAAATGAATATATAGTTTGCTTGTAATTCATATGTTATACATCTAAGTGGATCTCAATATTAAGTAAACAGGATTTATTCGAAAGGAAATACCGAGAGTGCTATGTTTTGCTTCAAGATTCCATGAGAGGATAACTGTAAAAAATTTTAATAGTTTCGTGGGGTAATTGTGGAACTAGATAGAATATTTTAAAAATTAAGGGGGGCAAGTGTGGGGACAATTACACAAATTTTAAACTTTGTATAAGTTATCCTATAGTTTTTCAAAAATTGAGTGAAAGCCCCCTGATTTTGATAAAAATATTATAATTTCATTAAAATTTATACTAATGACAGAAACTACACATCATCAGTCATACACAAATATGAAAGAATAGATAAATACAGACAGACATGAAAAAACATAGAAAAATTACCCGATAAGCCAAAAAAAAAAATACGTTAAAATACCAACTTTGTTAATATAACCAGAGTATTTATGCTCAAGTGCTTAACTCCTTTACTTTTTCTCAGAGAAGTGCGTCCTGCTTTTAATATTCTTTTACGTACGATATAATAGAGCATTATTAACGGAGATACCCACCAGCACATGAGACTAATGACTACATGACAGCATTATTAACATAAAAATCCAAGAAACAGAGTTCCGAAAGAGACTTTGTGCTATTCTTTTATTATTTCTGACGCACGAAATCAGATAATATCATTACGAGGATTTGGATCTTATGTCTAATAGCAAGACAGGCTTAACCGTTAAACATGTTGATGATCATGCAATTGCGTGGAAGTGTATAATAAATACTCTTTATCACAGCAGAAGATCCTGCTAATAATTCGCTAACACTTATGGCCACAAGAAGGGGTAAAAAAAAAAAAAAAAAAACGGATGATTTCAAAGTCGAAAGAAATTAGCAGAAAATTTGCAGAAGAAATGCTCCAATACAGATTAAAATCTTTTTGTTAATGTGAAGGAAGGCGGAAGAATTTCCAACACACTAACCGTATAAACTTGTAGTACAGCTTCAGTGGGAGGATGGAGAAACGTACCGCTAAATGCTATGCCAGAGGCAGCAACAACACAAGTCTGAATGACAGTGTTTTCTTGACGGGTGAAGGGCTGCTTCAGTAATCCAGATTTTTCAAGTAAGGTTGTCCAAGTCTTGATAAAGAAGAAGCCCAGAAGTCCAGCTGAGACGTTGAGGGATGGTATGATACCTGTGGTGAGATTGAGCTTCATGACTATGAAGCAGAACATCACTGACATGAAAAAACTCACCACAAATGCTCTCACCGTCAGCTGCTTTTTCCATGAGGGCACTTCTTTATTCTCAAATATCTTCTCTACCGACATTTCTTCTGCTCCTTGATCATTCTTTTCTTTCTTGATATTACTCGTCTCCAAACTCATTTGTTCTTCTGATTCAATTCCATTCTCTGCATTCTTTTCCCTTCCATTCATCTCCATTCTCTCTACTCCTCTCTTTCTTGAGTTTGGAATCTGAGGATGAGAATGATGAAGTTCTCTCTATCATAAAACTGAAGTACTACTAGTAATACTTGTATCGGATATGGTAAGAATTTAAAAGGTTGAAAGTGTCAAAGATTGCTAGAATAAGTCGAGTGTGTCAAATGTTCACGTCAAGAATGTGGGGTGGGAGATTTGATTTGTGATAGGCTGATAGCCACTTGCACATGCATGCCAAAAGACTTGCAAGTCATTGAAGCAACTTGGCATTTGGTTTG